CAGATGTATGCGTGTGTTTACCAATCCATGCACAGGTCCTGAATCAGTGGATAATTATTGTTAGGTCAGTGTTGTAGGAAAGTGACCTAAGTCCTGGCGCTGGACTTAAGAAGCCTGTATGACCTTCTTTCTTCTGTGAAATACACACACACACACACAAAAAAGATGTTTGGGAACCAAAAAAAAGTTTTTTTTTTCTACATACAATAAAAGTCAGTTGGGTCCAGTGTTGTTTTGGACCTCATAGACTTTCATTATATGGGCAAAAACAGTTTAAATATTCTTCAAAATATCTCGTTTTATGTTCCACAGTTTTGGAATGACATGAAGGCAGTAAAAAAAATGACAGAATTTTTGGGTGAACTGTCCCTTTAAGTCAGACTTATAATTAAAAAAAAATTGTATTGCCTTTTTTTGTTTTATTCATGAATCACTTGAATTTTTTATTACTTTTTCTAGTCAGATCAAATCACATTTATTTACAAAGCTATTAATATTATTGACCTAATTTATCAGATCAAGCGGATCCGTTTTTGTTTCATTGACAGTACAAGTAAATACTGAAAATATTGTGTAAACAACTGTGTAAACTGTTCCTTTAAAGGGGTCATATGATGCTGCTAAAAAGAGCAGTATTTTGTGTATTTGGTGTAATGAACTGTGTTTATGCGGTTTAAGGTTTAAAAAACACATTATTTTCCACATACTGTACATTATTGTTTCTCCTCTGTGCCCCACCTTTTTGAAACGCGTCGATTTTTACAAAGCTCATCGGTCTGAAAAAGCGAGGTGTGCTGTGATTGGCCAGCTATCCAGTGCATTGTGATTGGCCGAATACCTCAAGCGTGAGACTGAAATGTTACGCCCCTCACCATACTGTTGTATTCCCTCAGCGACCAGCATGGATCAGCTCTAGGCATGACGAAGCGGATATCGTCCTCTTTTGGAAGACCAAACAAAGTAGTTTCGCTTTCACAACGAAGCACACAGCATCTTCAGGATATGGCGGCGGCAACAATACTACAGTGAGAATAAAAGTTACGCCTTCTTTCTTTGCGTGAACATTTGGGCGGCGTTATGCAAATCTTCCCA